TAAAATATATCAGGATCTCTTTGCCAATTTTCCTGAGGGATAGACATCCACTGAGTTACAAACACAAAGACACAATAAGTTGGCTCCTGAAATAAGGCTGTCTTCCCAAAAAATTTTAAGGGGACTGTACTAAAATTATTAGGGGACCAGAAAAGAGGAAGCGTTGTGTATTTTTTCATTTTGTAGGTGGAAATCTATTATTAAGGGTGGCTTGAGGGGAGAGACTCGTCATATGCAGAGGACAACAATCATGTTGCACTGCTCATGCACGTCACAAAGCAGCAAGCTAGTTTTCGATTAATTATAATTCTGTCGGGAGGAAAGATGATAAGAACATCACTGTTCCAGGTATTTTTAGTGGTACTAAAACTCTTAGTCGTAGCAGGTCTGAAACACCTACTACGACCAATAGCAAACAACAAAAAGCTCCAGGAAATACACCCCACCAAAAATTAGCCTTCCTTGGCCACGGAGGACGGCTGTAGCCCTGAAATGGTTCAATAACCAAAACTGGATTTTATAACCGTTGACTTCTGCAGGCTACACGTAACAAATAACTACTGAAGCTTGTGGCTTGATGTGTGGTGGATGAAATGTTGCTCCACGATTGACTCTCCGTCTCAGACAGATCCATGGGGAAATACCGGTCACATGCAGGCAGTCATTTGTAAATCATTTGCAAGCTATGTAGCCTTGGGCTGCCCTTACCAGAGATTACTCCGACACACACAGAGGTGCACATAAGAAGTCTGAATTTTGAGGAAAAATTATGCAATTGCCAATTTTATGGGGTGTAACGGAAACGTAATATAACGAGTAGTGTAACAAATCACTGATGGCAGGGAGTAATAAGTAAAGTAATAATACTACTTTTAAAAAGAGCGACAGGTAATTTTAGAGTAATTAGCCCAACACTGGCAGCAATAGGCTTAATCTGCATTGTGTGAACTCTTTTAGCAAGAGCTTGACTGTAACGGACGTTCATTTGTAGGTAAAAAGTCCTGCGCCCCAGCTTTAATATCACTCAAGTCCATCCATCTGAAATTCTTCGCCTTCACCATTACATTCATGTTAACAGCTAAATTGTTTTTACCAATTACACTGTTTGAAGGGTGCTGCAGTCTTGGTCTCAGTCAAAAGAAATACTAATTCTGGGCGGATTTTGCAAAGAAAGACAAAAGGAAGAAAACAAGCATATTATCCCCATTTGCCACACCAATCATTTTCACACAGTCCCTAAATGTGGCCAACTTGTCTCCCAGATAAATGTCAAGAACGCTGTTTAATAACTGTGGCGCTCCTTAACTTTTTATGTGGCACCATCATCAGGTCAGAATTTTAATTTGCCCTTTTATTACCAATACTTTGGTTTATGACTAAATGCCCGCAAAACTGTTATTCCCATCAACCTCTGTTGTACTTTATGTTTCGTGCTAATTAACAAATGTCATCATGCTAACACTAAACTAAAATGGTGAATGTGGTGAACATTATACCTGCTAAAACTCAGCGTGTTTTTTTCTTTTTTTTTAAAGATTATGTTTTTGGGCTTTTGCATTTAATGAACAGGACAGAGTGAAATGGGGTTAGAGAGAGAGCGGGAGGGGGGTGACATGCAGCAAATGGTTGCAAGCCGGAGTCGAGCCTGCAACCGCTGCAGCGAGGCATTGTCTCTGTACATGGGGCGCCGGCACTATCCACTACGCTACCGACGCTCCAAAATCAGTGTGTTTGCATTGTTATTGTAGCATGCTAATGTTAACATTTAGCTCAAGGCTAACTCTGTATGTTTGAATTGGAATTTGAACCGACAGTGTCAATGACCAAAGATGCATTCTTCTTCTTTTTACTTTCAGTACGTACTGCAGCTGCACCTACAGAGTACATACTGTTGCATGGAGTATATAAACAGTTGGGATATACTACTTCCTCATAACATTATGCCTTGAACTTTGACCCTCTTACTTATATATCCGTCCCAGTCCATAGTGCGAGCTATCATCTGTCTGCAGTCGATGTGACTTATCTTCTGCTGTGCAAAGGATCGTGGGTCCGACTGGAAAGAAGAGCATGGTTGCTTGCAGTAGAACAACCTGATATTTTTTGGCAACTGCATTTGACATACTGTATGTTGGGGCATACTCATTTTTAATGACATACAAAATAGTCTGTACACCTTTAATTATCGTATTTGTGGTAAAGTGTTCCTTTAAAGTACTTTAATCTAATTAAATCCAGGAGCAACATAAAGCAGCAAAGTGGATTTCCTCTTGCTCTGATCTTGGCTCAAGAGGCGGTTACGTATGTGTGTATGTGTTGGCTTCCTCAGCTTATTTCAGCAGTAAAACTAAATGAGAGCTGACGAGGTCCAACATGTCAGTGATGAGTGGGAGGCAGAAACAGGGCCATTTTGTCCTTCATGGTCTCAGGGCCCGAGGGCGACAGGCCACGCTTCCCTTTACTGAGCACGCTCTTTAAATGGCTGAGTTATGTCACCGCTGATCACTGCCAAATTTCACCACACCCCCCTGTCTGAAGACGAGTTGGCTTTCTAACCCATAATCTGAAAATGATTACGGAGCTGTTCTTGCTTACTGAATCAGATTTATGAATATAGTATTTGAGTTATATTTTATAGTGGTAAATCTTTCTTGCTCAGGAGATATAGATGTTGGTTTAGGGACGGCATTTCAAGCATCATTTAAAGAGGTAAAGTGACAAATGGATGCAGAAAGAATTTCAGCCAAATGTATCTTAATCCACACAGACAGCAACTAAATGTCTATTTATCTCCACATACAGAGTGTGAAGGAAATATCCTGCAACATACTGAACCACTGCCTCCACCTGCTGGAGCAACAATGTCTTGCACTCATAGGCAAGGTAAGGCAAGCATATTTATATAGTACTTTACATGAAACATCAAAAGCATCGAGACAAAGTGCAAAAGAAACACACTATAAAAGGACATTTAAATACATAATGATTACACAGTCATTAAAGAGCTATAGGATAAAAAAATAACAAGCCAAAACATACAAAGACAGGGATAAAGTGTAAGAAATAAATAGTTGTTTGATTTAATAAAAGGCTGCAGCAAACAGAAAAGTCTTTAGCTTTGATATAAAAGACCTGAGAGTTGCAGAAGACCTGTAGTTTACTGGAAATTTGTTCGAGATATGTGGTGCATAAAAACTAAATGCTGCTTCTCCGTGTTCAGTCTTGACTCTAGGGACATGAAGCAAACCTGTCCCAGATGACCTGAGAGGTCTGGATGGTTCATAGTGTAGCAGAAGATCCAAAATGTATTTGGGCCCTAAACCATTCAGTGCTTTGTAAACCAACTGTAGTATTTGGGGGTTGGTTTCTCTGAGACAGAAAGTCAGTGTAAAGACCTCAGAACTGGAGTGATTTGAGTCACTTTCTTGGTCTTAGTAAAGACTTGAGCAGGAGCGTTCTGAATCATCTGCAGATGTCTCATTGACCTGTAAAGACACTGTTACAGTCGTCGAGTCTACTGGAGATAAATGCATGGACAAGTTTATCCAAATTCTGCCAAGACATCAGTCCTTTTATCCTCAATATACTCAACAGTCACATTAATACGATCACAAAGTCAGCCGACTGTCTAAACATGACAGTCGGCTGACTTTGTGATCATCTTAATATGACTGTTGAGATTCAGGTCTGAGTCCATGACTACACCAGAGTTCTGGCTTGGTCTGTAATTTTTAGCATTGTCAACTGAAGCTGAGTGCTGACTTTTAATCATTCCTCATTGCCTCCAAAAACTATCCTCAGTTTTGTCTTTGTTTAATCGACAAAAATTGTGGCACATCCAATCATTGAGCTTATGTATTCTCTAGCATGGTGTGCCTCAGGAGTCAGTCCTGGGACCAGTTTTATTTTCCCTGTGCACGCTTCCCCTTGGACACATTATTAAGAAACATGGTGTCTCTTTTCATTTTTATGCTGACGATACACAGATGAGTTGCCTGTCAGATCCACAGTTCACTCAGTGACTGCCTGACTGATGTTAAAAAAGCTGGATGTCAAAATGGTTTCTTCAACTGAACTCGGACAAAACAGAGATTGTTGTCATTTTGGCCGCAGAATGCTACTCAACGAATTCTACCTTTGGCTGGTCCCCTATTGGATATTATCAAACCTGTTGCAAGAAATCTTGAACTCTGGTTTAAGCAGCATGTCGCAAAGCCTGTGCAATCATGTTTTCATCATCTTAGAAATATTTCAAAAATACAATCCATTTCAACTTAAAGACACAAAGACAATTTTACGCTTTCATCTCTTCACACCTGGATTACTGCAACAGCTTCTTTTCTTGCCTGAATCAAAAATCTATTAATCGACTCCAGACTGTTCAGAATTCAGCTAACAGGCTTTTAATCAGAGCGAAGGGATGTGATCCTGTCACTCCAGTTTTAGCCTCTTTACACTGGCTCCCAGTATATTTTAGAATGGATGTTAGGATTCTACTGATTCCTTTTAAGGCTCTTCATGGTCTCTCTCCCAGCTATATCTCCCACCTCTTAGTGCCGTACATGCTAAGACGTATTTTGAGATCCTTGGGCAGAGGTCTTCATCTGTTCCAGAGACCTGGCTGAAAACTAAAGTGGACAGAGCATTTGCTGTCAGGGCCCCGAGGCTCTGGAACAGTCTGCCCGAGGAAATCCGAACAGCCGAGTCAAGGATCTCATAATTTCTTAAAACATACTTTTATCTGAGAGCCTTTTAAGTTCATTTAGACTGTCTTTTATTTCCTCAGTTTTTACACACAGAGGTGTTTTTATCAATTCTTTTAAAAGTTGTTTTCATGTCTTATCTGTTTCCTTATTCACATTCAAAGCACTTTGAAACTGTTTTTAAAAGTGCTTTATAAATAAAGATTATTATTATAATCATATTGGACCAGTCCCCTGGTGATATGGTTATGTAAATTACATATTGACCATTTTGTGACCAAATAAAAAAAGACACACTTCTCTGAACAGTAGAGATTTTAATAAACTTTTCAATTCACAAGTCTTGTTGCAGCTGACATGATTAGTTTTTATATTACCAAAATCATTGCAAAAATGCAGTATCATAAATATATGGCCATCTCATATATACTTTTTTGTACATATTAATTTCAAAGGTCCCTTAGTTGTAAAAAATAAGTGTGCAACCAACCTAAAAAATCTGGTGGATATCTGCAAAGTTCAGCACAGTATTTTCCTACCAAAAAGATAAATACTCTAAAGCTCTATCTTTATTTAAAAGGGCTGCTGCTGTAAAGTGAAAGATTGCTTTGATCTTGATGTTTTATTGCTAAACAGGCATCCCGATTATCTTACGAAATTTCATATAACCATGAAGTCCACGCAGTGAAGATGTATGATGTTTTGACATATATTCAATTAAATAAAAGGATATAAAAAGGCAATATTGGCAAAAGCAGAAGCATAGGGGATAAGTGCATTTACAAAAAATAAACTTCCTCTCAATATTTAAAAGATACAAAATGTGTGAAGGTGTGGAGTGTGACTGGCTGGCTGATGGATAACGGTCACATGGTGCCAGCCGGGAAAGGAGTGTGAAGATTAACAGGAAGATTTCTCTTCTGCTCTCCGTGAGGCAAGACGTCTTTTTTTCATGCCTCTGGTTCCACCTCCATCTCTACCCTCTTTGTACCCATCAATCCATCCTCTCACTCTCTCCTCTCCTGTTTTTTTTGTCTCTCAGTGCCAGTCTTCGTCATCATCATCCTCTCCCTCAGTTGAGTCTTCCTGGCTGCTGAGCTCTGCCTGCTCCGTCTCTCCGTTCCCATCTCCTCTCTGATTTGCCGCCGCTGCCGCCGCCGCCACCGCCTTCCTGGCCCGAAGTTCAGCTGCCGCCTGCTCCTCCTCCTCTTTCTGACGCAGCGCCGCAGCCTTCTTCTCTTGCTCCGCATGACTCTTCATGTGAGCGCTGCGACTCTTCACTTTGTAAAACACCCTATTGTACAGGAAGAAAACGACGTTACATGAAACAGCAGCTGTTTGGAAAGACTACAAAGTTTACTGAGCTACTGCGAGGAAGTGCGCTGAATATGAAAAAAGCTCTCGTTTCAAAATGTCTTTCTTTGCAACACTGTTTCTCCATTTTATTTCATGACACTTTTCATCACAAAGTCTTTTTTGTCGATCAAAACAAACAGAGCAGATTATTTCATATATTTTATCTGATTAATTGTCTAACTTATAATTTCCAGTTTTATCTACAATTGAAATCTTTCAATATTTTTGAAGATCAACATGACGAGGCAAACCACTTGAGCTGCTTTCACTGCAACCGACACACTGACAAGTCACTGCAGCTGCAAATCTCACCAACACTAATGAGACTGCAACACTGGGTGAGCAAAAATCAGAATTGACCATTTAGTGCAAAATCAAGATGTCACATCACAAGTTATAAAAGAAGACGTACCTGCCACACTTCTTGCATGGAAATATTGCATCAGGATCTGGTGGGGGCTTCGCTGGTGCTCTGCTCTTCTTTGCTGCAGGCTCGCCTCGTTGCCTGTGGGGTACTGACGGGTGGTGAGCCTCCTTATTCACAGCGTCTGGCTCTTTGATCACCAACACTGGCCCTGCCTGGAGGTCCAAAAGTAAGTAGATGTTAGTTTGACTGTTTTTGACTCGCATTGACTTTTATTAAACCTGATTGGGTTAATAGAAAGTGTGGTCTTTTAGTCGAACTGCCTCGCAGATCCTATAATACATAGTGAAATACTTACATAGTCATGAGCCTGTAGTGACCGAGCAACCCTGGCCTGCTGGCTGCTCTCGTAGGAAGGGTCCTTCTTCTCGTCTCCGTCCGTCTCTCCTTGAGTCAACTTGGACTGCTGTGAACTCTGTGCGATGAATCAAAGTAATTGCACAAAATATTAAAACAAACCTTTAAAATGCGAACTTAAACTCCTTAAAGGCTTAAAAACATGAAATGATCACATCTTTCTCGTAACCTCAGTCTACGGAAACACAGTTTGGCACACACATCCTGTAACACTCAGTGCTGAATGGTTAAAGACAACCTACTTTCATTTAAAAATAAAAGATGAAGAATTAGTTTCTAGTGATCATTTTGTTGCATTCCCACACATCACTCCAAGTTGACTTCACCCTACCTTAATGTCCACCACAGCCTCCGTGTGCTTCTCCACGGGTGAGTCTGGAGGGCCGAAGGTTAAAATCCCGTTGCGACCGACCTTCACCTGTTTCTTGTACGTGTAGTAAAACTCCACACACTGAGCCACAGTCTTGGTCCGCACCTTTAAAAATCAGTCCAACATACACATGCACAATTTCTTATAAATTAATGAACCTTTTCCACTGTGATACGACTGTGCGCATCTTGCAATTTGCATTTGTAGCATCAATATAGTGATGACAAACAAAACAAACAGTCATTTATGTGCATATCATTAGGGATGGAGCTTTAGCTGCTTTCTAGGGGTTGCTGCAGGGGGCCATTACCATCCCCAATCAGATTCTTAGGCTTATGAATTCCCTTCAAACATGCATCTACACAGCTGGAAACGAAAGTTGACAACAATGCTGCTGTCTGTACAATCATTATTCTAAGTAAGGGTGGAAACATCTCTCTATGCAACATGAGCTTAAATTCCAGGGATGACATTTAACACTTGAGCGCCAGTGCTTCCCAACCAAGCAGCACATCCGTTACCAAGAGTAAATATCCTGTTATGATAACTGAGCGCCATGCAGGCAGGTTTAGCAGAATTTTTTGACTGGGAAACCCTAAATGAACACAAATGTCATCCAATTTAGATGACGACAGACGGTTGCTACAGCAAGCTCACAGGGTGCTTTCAGACCTAGAGTTGTCTTGCTTTGGTCCCAATCAGGGACTAGTTTTGTTACAAATTTGCATAATTGCTTAGAGTTGGTTCGTGTTCTCACGGCAGCATTTATAACCAGACCAGATCAAATGTCTTGCATGAGAAAGCTGCTCTTGATTGGTCAGAATTTCCATGTGGGAAAAGTCCAGGAAGTAAACAAAACGTTAAAGAAGAGTACACTTGCAGGATAAGTGTGACACTTTCTAATGTCACAATGGAGGGACAACTACACAGGTTGATTTTAGCGCTGCTCATCGTGGACTATATTGCTGTCATTGTTCATTTTAGTCAAACCATACAGTTTGAAAATGAGGCGCGGCTCCAACTAGAAAACAATGTTTTGATGCATTGGATGTGCTGAATGTGCATATTAAGGCAGTACAGGAGGAGGTGCACATTAATAATCCTCCAGGACTGTAACATGCTCATGTTTAACCCAAACAATGTGTCATGTGACTGCAGCTGGTTTAGATCAAGGTCGGAACACGTTCTCACCACAAACGAACCGCACCGAAGTTCCTTTGTAACCAGACTGAGACCACCTCTTAAAGGTCTCGGTCTTGACAATGTGCGCACCCGAGTGCGATTGCTGTGTTCACACCTGCCCAAATGAACAGCACTTAGGGGGCAAACGAACTTGAGTTCAATTGAACCGAACCAAACTGGGCAGGTGGGAAAGCAGCCTTGGACTTCAGCCAGCTCAAGAGTGTCATGGTTGCACTGATGACCCCCCCCCCCCCCCCCCACACACACACACAGAGCTGATCAAGAATCAGACCGATAAGCAGATTCAGTAACACCAATGGTATCAATAAAATCTTTTCAACTTCCATCCCTACGTTAAGATGAGAGGCAGCTTGGCCTCATGCCAGTGGTATTGTTGCTGTTACTGTTTCTCAAAATGAAGACCACATTTCCCATAAATCCAGTTCAGTTACTTCCTGTCACAGAAAGAATATTGTTTGTATAGTCTAATTTTTTGCATGTTTGGAGCTTGTTTAGTTTTAACAAAAGGATTTTCCATTACATCAGAATTTGGCCTCATATTGTCAAATCCATGCACTGGAGAGTAACAACTGCAAGTCTGTACTCTGACCATCTTGTTTGTTTAAAGCAATTATACTAATACCTCATAATTATTGTGCCGATGATTTATAGGTGTTGTCATGCAACACAGAGCACATTTAATCATATTTAAATGTATTTCAGATTCATTTACACTGATTCATCATCGTCCACGCTGCAGGGTAAAACTAACGAGCGTACCAATTTCTGCACCATAAAGAAGTCCTTCCTGTAGGCAGAGATCCCCTTGTTGAAGTAGCGCTTCTCTTCTGCAGTCCAGCAGTCGGAGCCTGTTTGTAAATCAGACGCAGTGCAGTTCAATGTGTGCTCACAAGAGAGAATGAGGAAACGTTTAAAGAGAGGTTAGGAAATCAGAGACAGAAGGGGGAAGATGAAGAGACGAAGGGAAACCATGAGAGTCGACTGAAGTGATTTATGTCAAACAGCTTGTATTTTCCTGTGATGTCACAGCTCACCTGAGTAGTGATAACCTGCCAGGTGATGACCTTTGGGGAAAACTGGGTCCTGAAGCATCAAACGTCCCAGAGTTTCCTTAAAAGCAACGAGATTTATCACAGTTGGCACATTGTTCTTTAACAGGGTCTCTGTTCCTCATTTGAGTGCTTCAGCTGCACAACACTGTAAAACAATCCTGACGCTAACAAGTGCAAAGTTGCATAAAAAAGATCTGCTGGTGTCATTTTTTAGGATTTTGATTTCATTAAAAAGTTGTTCTGCTGACTGAAATCTAGTAATTTGAGTGAGTTACTATGAGTCACTATACTCACAAGGAAATCACCTCCACATTCATGTAAACAGTGTAAAACCAGCTCCTGGTTGGTTCCTCCGCCCTGGAGCACACTGCAACACGCCATGCTCATCAAATCCTCCACTATAGAAAAAAAAGAGAGAGAGAGAAAATGACGACACTTTGAAAGAATTAGTGTGGACCTGTGCAGTGACCGTTTAATACACTGCCTGGCCAAAAAAAAAGTCGCCACCTGGATTTAACTAAGCAAATAGGTACGAGCCTCCTATTGGATAATTACTGCATGGGCGATTATCTTTCAGCTGGCAACAAGTTATTTAACCCCAACTGGTGCAATGAGTTGCTTCTCATTTCCTAAACAACCATGTCGAAAGACACATCCCGTGGTCGTGGAAAAGATGTTAGTCTGTTTGAGAAGGGTCAAATCATTGGCATGCATCAAGCAGAGAAAACATCTAAGGAGATTGCAGAAACTACTAAAATTGGGTTAAGAACTGTCCAACGCATTATTAAAAACTGGAAGGATAGTGGGGACCCATCGTCTTCGAGGAAGAAATGTGGCCGGAAAAAAATCCTCAATGATCGTGATCGGCGATCACTTAAACGTTTGGTGAGATCAAATCGAAGAAAAACAACAGTAGAACTCAGGGCTATGTTTAATAGTGAAAGTAAGAGCATTTCCACACGCACAATGCGAAGGGAACTCAAGGGATTGGGACTGAACAGCTGTGTAGCCTTAAGAAAACCACTAATCAGTGAGGCTAACCGGAAAAAAAGGCTTCAATTTGCTAGGGAGCATAAAGATTGGACTCTGGAGCAATGGAAGAAGGTCATGTGGTCTGATGAGTCCAGATTTACCCTGTTCCAGAGTGATGGGCGCATCAGGGTAAGAAGAGAGGCAGATGAAGTGATGCACCCATCATGCCTAGTGCCTACTGTACAAGCCTGTGGGGGCAGTGTTATGATCTGGGGTTGCTGCAGTTGGTCAGGTCTAGGTTCAGCAACAGTATGTGCTCAAAGAATGAGGTCAGCTGACTACCTGAATATACTGAATGACCAGGTTATTCCATCAATGGATTTTTTCTTCCCTGATGGCACGGGCATATTCCAAGATGACAATGCCAGGATTCATCGGGCTCAAATTGTGAAAGACTGGTTCAGGGAGCATGAGACATCATTTTCACACATGGATTGGCCACCACAGAGTCCAGACCTTAACCCCATTGAGAATCTTTGGGATGTGCTGGAGAAGGCTTTGCGCAGCGGTCAGACTCTACCATCATCAATGCAAGATCTTGGTGAAAAATTAATGCAACACTGGATGGAAATAAATCTTGTGACATTGCAGAAGCTTATCGAAACAATGCCACAGCGAATGCGTGCCGTAATCAAAGCTAAAGGCGGTCCAATGAAATATTAGAGCGTATGACCTTTTTTTTTGGTGGTGACTTTTTTTTTGGCCAGGCAGTGTATGTGCATGCTCAGAACGGACTGACTGCTCGGCCTCTGGTAATGCTGCATGCAGCTCAAGAACCGCTCATACAAACAACTTCAAAATCGACACTGTGCTTCCTTGGGTCCTGAAAAATAGACTTACATACAGTACAGGCCAAAAGTTTGGACACACCTTCTCATTCAATGCGTTTTCTTTATTTTCATGACTATTTACATTGTAGATTCTCACTGAAGGCATCAAAACTATGAATGAACACATGTGGAGTTATGTACTTAACAAAAAAAGGTGAAATAACTGAAAACATGTTTTATATTCTAGTTTCTTCAAAATAGCCACCCTTTGCTCTGATTACTGCTTTGCACACTCTTGGCATTCTCTCCATGAGCTTCAAGAGGTAGTCACCTGAAATGGTTTCCACTTCACAGGTGTGCCTTATCAGGGTTAATTAGTGGAATTTCTTGCTTTATCAATGGGGTTGGGACCATCAGTTGTGTTGTGCAGAAGTCAGGTTAATACACAGCCGACAGCCCTATTGGACAACTGTTAAAATTCATATTATGGCAAGAACCAATCAGCTAACTAAAGAAAAACGAGTGGCCATCATTACTTTAAGAAATGAAGGTCAGTCAGTCCGGAAAATTGCAAAAACTTTAAATGTGTCCCCAAGTGGAGTCGCAAAAACCATCAAGCGCTACAACGAAACTGGCACACATGAGGACCGACCCAGGAAAGGAAGACCAAGAGTCACCTCTGCTTCTGAGGATAAGTTCATCCGAGTCACCAGCCTCAGAAATCGCAAGTTAACAGCAGCTCAGATCAGAGACCAGATGAATGCCACACAGAGTTCTAGCAGCAGACCCATCTCTAGAACAACTGTTAAGAGGAGACTGCGCCAATCAGGCCTTCATGGTCAAATAGCTGCTAGGAAACCACTGCTAAGGAGAGGCAACAAGCAGAAGAGATTTGTTTGGGCCAAGAAACACAAGGAATGGACATTAGACCAGTGGAAATCTGTGCTTTGGTCTGATGAGTCCAAATTTGAGATCTTTGGTTCCAACCGCCGTGTCTTTGTGAGACGCAGAAAAGGTGAACGGATGGATTCCACATGCCTGGTTCCCACTGTGAAGCATGGAGGAGGAGGTGTGATGGTGTGGGGGTGTTTTGCTGGTGACACTGTTGGGGATTTATTCAAAATTGAAGGCACACTGAACCAGCATGGCTACCACAGCATCCTGCAGCGACATGCCATCCCATCCGGTTTGCGTTTAGTTGGACGATCATTTATTTTTCAACAGGACAATGACCCCAAACACACCTCCAGGCTGTGTAAGGGCTATTTGACCAAGAAGGAGAGTGATGGAGTGCTGCGGCAGATGACCTGGCCTCCACAGTCACCGGACCTGAACCCAATCGAGATGGTTTGGGGTGAGCTGGACCGCAGAGTGAAGGCAAAGGGGCCAACAAGTGCTAAACACCTCTGGGAACTCCTTCAAGACTGTTGGAAAACCATTTCAGGTGACTACCTCTTGAAGCTCATGGAGAGAATGCCAAGAGTGTGCAAAGCAGTAATCAGAGCAAAGGGTGGCTATTTTGAAGAAACTAGAATATAAAACATGTTTTCAGTTATTTCACCTTTTTTTGTTAAGTACATAACTCCACATGTGTTCATTCATAGTTTTGATGCCTTCAGTGAGAATCTACAATGTAAATAGTCATGAAAATAAAGAAAACGCATTGAATGAGAAGGTGTGTCCAAACTTTTGGCCTGTACTGTATGCCCCTTTTCTACAGTCAAAGGCTGTGCAGTAAGAGCCTGTTGTCTGCAGCTCTTCATCAACATCTCACTGTGGCTGTTTCTGATCTTACTCTTCCTCCCTGCTGTATTATTAGACTTGTCTTAATTGAAGAAAAGCTGCTAACAAAGTGCTGCTAATTCAGTAATAACACATTTAATTTCCTATAGATTCTTCACAATAAAAGTTTTCTATTATTTTGATGTGTAAAAACTTTTATTGTGAAGCACCAAAATAAGGAAATGTTGGGTTTAGGAACAGGAGCCTCACACAACTTGTAATACGGCTGATAGCGAACATGAAACATGAAATAAAAACAGATATCTAAAGTAAAAACAGGACGCAGGCGAGAAACTAAACTACAAACGCCTTTCTGTGTGGTCTCCTGCAGACAGAGGTGAGTAGAGTCGCGCAACACACACACGCTTATTTTGGGGGTGAACAAGAGTCATCGGGGGTCGGCTGCGGCCGGCAAGACATCACTACTACCTGCTTGAGGGTGGGCGCGTCCGGCTTTTGGACCTACTCTGGAGAATGTCTATCTCTGGCGCGGCTTGTCATGGCACAGTGCGTCTAAACTGACGATGGAAACACCACTGGCTTTTCTCGACGTGGCCAAGAGTGACAATGGAAAAAGGGTAATAGTTGAGTCCCCTAGAAAGCTCACACTAACATTTTAAGGCTACAATTAAGTCAAAGCCCGACTATTTTGGGGGACTAAAGTGTTCATTTTGGAAGTCACGTAGCTGGTGCTGAAATGTTTGAGTTCACAGCAGTCAAAGTTGACTCAAGGAGAGACGGATGGAGACGACAAGAAGGACTCTTCCTATGAGAGCAGCCAGCAGGTGAGGGTTGCTCAGTCACTACAGGCTCATGACTGAGTATTTCACTACTAGTATCTCTCTTTCCTCATCCCTTGTTTCATGTACTGTGACGTTAGAGCAAGCAAGAGCTCGTGCTTAACACTGCACTTCCCTGGGTCCTCAGCACAGACTGTAAAAATAATGGAGATAGCTTACGTGACGTCACCCACTGGTTTATTGACTCTAGCTGTCAAGTGTCAAGTTTGGCATTTTGGCCGTTGCTATCTTGGTTTTGTAGAGCCAGAAGTGACCATATCTGGGCAAGAGGCTGGCGCTGTGGAGGGGCGAGGACTGGATCTGACTGAGAAGCTGATAACACGATTGACAGCCCTTATCATGCCTAACTTTAAGCCTTAATGAAATGTAAACAGGTGAGTTATATGAAGATTCACCCCTGTACAATTGTTATGAAGGAGGAATTAGCTATAGAGACCAAAACCGTGATTGTACCAGGCCGTAAACATGTTTATTTCTGCTGTAAAGTTTGGCATTTTAACATGGTGGTCTATGGAGACTGACTGGCTTCTGGAGTCAGCCTCAAGTGGCCGTTCAAAGAACTGCAGTTTTTGGCACTTCAAGTGTGAAGTCAATTGGATGAACGGTTGGCGAGGAAAAAAAAAGTTCACACAAAGAAAAGAATAACAACAATCAGTGCAGATACTAACTGCTCTCTTGGTCACCGTGTTTGAGGTTGGAGTCATCTATAGGGAGCCAAACCAGGTCAGCCTTGTGCTGGTCCAACTGGGAGCAAGGTTGATCCTGCATCTCTGGAATTTCTGCCTGGTACTTCAGCCCGATGTTGATACGTCTGAACAAGAGGGGGAAAAAAGTACATTGAAGTACATTTCTGATAAAGACGTCTTTTTTTGGGCCAGGTATTGAGAACGTCAGAGTTCTGTAGGGGCGGTTGTACTTACGGTTCAAGGCTCGCAGGTGTGGCGTCAGTGATCAAGGGCATAACAGGAGGTGTGATTTCTGAACTCGCTGCAAATACAAAGAAACGTCCTTTTAGCCACTATCTGAGAACACCTAATGAGTAAAATTTGTCTGAGATCATACAGCTGAGACTTACTGGAGCGCAACAGGCTGCGTGTCGCAGATTTGGGTGTAGGCGGTGGCGGCAGGATCTGGTTGCTTACGGCGATGTTGGTCAGGAAGGTGGAGAAGTAGAGACCCGAGCCCTCGCGCACAGGAGACAGGATTGGTGGTGGCGTGTACGGGGGCAGGGTGAGGGGGTTGTCCGGCAGGCGGACTGGAGAGCGCAGGTTGCTCTGGTAGGCGGTGATGTTGGAGTAGAGGGATGGTGGGATGAAGGTGGATGGTTTGTGTGGAGGGATGATGAGAGGCTGGGGACGAGGTCGGCGCTTGAATTTGGATTTTCCATCCTCATCAGGCCCTGGATCGTTTTCCCCGTCCTGGACAGAACATTGAAGGTTTGATACTTTTCTTTGATTAAAAGTCATATTATTCAGCTGTAACTGAGCATGTAGGTGTGTCTGCTGTCATTTATTTTCCCATAACCAATTTATATCGATTATAGGGTTCTACCTGCCTGTTCAATGGAAACCGTTCTGCATTTTTTGACAGCAGATGAGTTTTAACCCTTCAAAACCTGAGCAAATTGACTTAATTACTTTTTAAAACATGGGAAGAACGCAATGAGCAATTAAAGAAGAAATGACCCAAAAAATTAGCAAGAAATTCGTAAAAAGAGAAAATTATTAAAAACAAGAAAATTAGCAACAAAAACAGAAAAAAAAAATCAAAAACAAGAAAATTTATGAGAAAAAAATCAAAAACAATAAAATTGGCAACAAAACAAATAAGAATAAAAACAAGAAAATTGGAAAAAAAATAATAATAATATTGATTAAATCAATTAATTTATAATAACAATTTTAAAATGTAGTAGTAATAATTATTATAAACATAGTTTTATCCTTGATTTTTTCTTTTTTTGTGTTATTTTCTAAATCTAGTTTATTTAATTTTTTCGCGATTTGTGGGGCATTTCTTACCAAGTTGCTCAATGCCTTTTTTTTGGAAAGAAAATGCACCAATTTGCTCATGGTTCAAAGGTTTAAATACTTGTGAAAGGCATCTGCAACCAGGTTTCAAAGGGTTAAATATTGCTGCAAGTAATAAAAGACCTGAAGACACCTGAAGAAGAGCTGCAGGTGAAAGGCTGCTAAGCACAGTTGTTGTGTGGGAAACTACCCACTCCATGCATGTCATGTAACTGGATGGCAGTTGCAAATATTACTGACTAACTTCTTTATTAAGACAACTTAAGTTCTCTTGTTCCTCTGGCTTATGTGTGACATGACAGCAGCTCAAGTGTTGCTGTCGCCAAATCAACCAGGAATTTTACCAGACAGAAAATTAACAGGCGAACTTCTTCACATACTTACTTATCCCCACATCTGACTGGACCAAAGCACCACTTACTGGTGATTTTCAAAAATGGACACATATGTTTACATGTACACTAGTATTCTACTATCATTCTAAATATGACAATATTCTGAATTTGATAGGGAACATGTAAACAGCATATTTAGTTTGGATACTCCCAATTAGGCTTGACTCCGAATGTACTATTTTCCCCTTAACACATGTGGGATATGCCAGTATTACTCTACAGTATATCTTATGTTAGGAGCATTCTTTGGACATGTATACAGCACATTTGAAATATGCATCTCAATTGGGCTTTTTACCACAGTATGTGACACATGGCCTCTGGCCTGTTTACGGTTAGCTCTGCACGTTGTCATGGACGCACTGAACGCAAACCAACACGCCAACAGTTGGGGGTTAAAGGAATCAAAGAGGGAGGCTGTGCTCACACAGCTGAACGAGTACAAAAAAAACCTCCTGTTTTGACACAAAAAATCAAAATGACACAAACAGCTCCAGTTGTTCCACTTTTCCATATTTTGATGTGATAAACATCATGTTAGGGGACGTTATTCGGAGCTGCATGTAAATGAGAATATTTATTTCTATCAGCCGTGTAAACAGCTTAGAGTAGAAATATGGTCATTTTCAGAATAAGCTCAAAAAAAAAGATTTTTTTGTACACAAGCAGTACATTGTGTACTGGCTGAATCAGACTGCACTGTAAACCTACACAGCCAGTTTAAAACAGCTGTTTTGGAGCATTAATGAGTCATGTTATCGTCTAACCCGCTCCATAAACATGGCAGATTGGTTCCAGTGGATGTTTCCCGGACTAAAATCTGGAATCAGATTAAAAAGCGGGCTCCTCGTACTAATGAGAACTTGAACTTTGAAGCTGGTCAGTTCATCACAGACCTGCATCTCTATGGGGTCTAGAAGAAGTTACTTTACATGAGGCTGAGTCTAAATATCCATCTAAAACCATGACTTTTGTATAAGCTTCACTGTGACATGTACACACTGACAATCAGAGGTTAGGAACACAATTACAACGTCATGTCCTTGAGTAAAATTTAGGGATACTTGTACTTTACGTCATCCCTAGACAGGTTATTACAAATTGGTGGCTTCAACAAGCACTTCTTCACCAATGTTAGCAGTGTGAGTAGCAAATATGAAACTGGAGCCAGCAGCCGGTTAGCTTAGTTTAGCTTAGCTTAGCATAAAGACTGGAAACAAGAAATAGTCCTGCACATAACTATATTACTTAAACAAGTGGTTCCCAACTGGTCCAGCCACAGGGTCCAAATTTCTCCTTAGTCATTAGTTCAAGGTCCAAACAGTGTAATACATTTGGTGTCATACTTGGGTTTGGCCATGCCATTGAGCTAGTTTGCTGTCTCTGTCAAGTAGCTGTTAGCAACTCACTCTACAACAGAAAATGGTACTTCAAAATAAAAGCTCTGTGCTGTGCTGGAAATTCACTGTACTTAAAAATAAAGTGTTTTTTTTTTTTTAGAAACACATTTACAAGTCATTTGAGGTCCATTCAGAATGGACCTGTGACCCACCAATTGGGAACCATTGGTTTATACAAACAAAACAGGAGAGAACAAGGCTAACTGCTAGCTAGCTTCTTGCTAACCAGCTGCTGACTGTAGCTTCATATAGAGTGCTGCAGGATCGAGTCCTAAAACCTGGAAATGAGTTAGCATTTTTGCACCCCTGGTGCCCTTGTCTCTAAGTCCATGGATTTTTTGGTAAGACGCCTAAAGTAAGGTCTGTGGTTAATACAAGCTTAAGAGATTTTCACGTTTTCCTTTACCACATAAAGTACATTAGTAAATACCCTGGCTGTAGACTTGTAAATTCTGAAGCCTTTCCGTGTCTTAAAAAAGACGGTTGCTAACACGTGGCTAAATGAGACTACAGAGAGTCATCACGCCGAACACAGCTTTACAACCTTGCTGTGGTGGCGACGTTAAAATCTCAGACTGTGGTGTAGTTTGTTTATAGCCTAAAGTTAGCATTTACGCTTAAAAAAATCATAAAGGTAGTGTTCATTTGTGAAGATTATCTTGCTGAACAAAACATGCAGGTATCATGAACCTTATGGTCGCCACAGGGTTTACTTTCTGCAATGATCCCAAATCCAGTGGAAAAATCCTGTTGGCTTTTTGACAAGGGAACCAGGGCGAAGCTAACTACTGTGGTGGCCTACAAAAGAACATCATCCCTGCAGCACTTGAGCTGTGAGATAATTGAGGGTATCAAACTACTCATCTGACTCTCGACAAGAAAACAAATAAGGGTATCTCCCAGAATTTCTTACTATACCTTCAAGATTCAACACACAAAACACACAACATTCTGCTCACTTGTTTATGGATCAGTAATAATACTCCAATAATGTTCTATCAATAGGTACTTTCACTTTTGATACTTTTGCTGCTAATACTTTCATACTTTTATAAAAGTTAATTTATGAATTCTGGACTTTTACTTGTATCAGAGTATTTTCAAATTCTTGTATTTCAACTTTGACTTCAGTGACAGATCTACTTATTCCTCTCAAGGCAGTAGGAGGCTGATAATGTGGTTAAAGGTCACCTTAGGTCTACTGATATCAACAATAAACCAACGATCAAAGCAACGTAAAAGTCATCTCCTCACAATACTGACCTGGCCAAAACTCTCCGTTAGGGAATTTCTGAGCGATCGCCGACGAGCCACGATGACTGACGGTTTGCGATCGGACTGTCCCGCGGGCCGCTCACCTGGGCCGAATCGTCCCTGAGCCCAGCCGCCCTGAGGGTCTGTTTGACTCCTGTGCACTGGTACAGACACCGGGATAACCAGAGGCACCATGGTGGACTGTCTGCCTGAAGAGCCATCTTCCTGCTGACGCATCAAAGGAAAGAGGCAGGAAGATGAGAAGACATGGAGGATGGAAAAGGGATTGAGATATATGGTTTGAAAATCAGATTCATTTTCAAATCGTCTACAACAGTATGAAAATATATATCCTCCTGAGACTTGAACTTGTTTTTGGTATGTATTTTTAATTTCTCACAGCTATTTGGGATCAGTAGGACCCGATAAGTAAAAAAAAACTAAACGTTGTCAACAATGATTAAGTCCCAATGTCCTCAAATGACACGACAGCAAGGTCCCAATGTCTTCATACGAGTACTTAAGCGTACTTAAGCATTTTTGCTTGTCACTGTTGCTAACAATGGTCAAATTTGTTGCCGTATCAAACTACAAACATTATTAATCATAAATAAACAATTTTCAAACATTAAATGTGATCAGGTTTTGGACCTTGTCCACTTTTCTGTCAGGATCGGCTGCAGACTGACTTGGCAGAGATGGCGGCCATCTTGTTTTTACATGCATTAGTGTACTGTACTCTTACTACCACTAGATGGCACAAAACAGTGTCCATGGACAAGGACAACAGGTCTAAATTAAGTAGAATAGTATACGATAAAGTAAACCCAAATATGATGACCTCATATGAGGACACAGGGTCTCAGGAGGATAATCAATGGATTTTAACAAAATTATCTAAGATTATTTTCACAAGTTAAAGAAAAAGCACGAAAGATAGCCATCACACGAATGACAAGACATCTTAATTGTCTTGCTAACCAAAACTTTCAGTGTAAAATGATATAAAACTTTAAATGCAGCAAATTAATTGGCAATAATGGGGCAATTGTGGTTTATTTAATGACTGAAGCAATAAATCAATTATAAAAGTTGTTTCTTTACTTTTCTGTCGATTGATTAAATGACAAATTGTTTCAACTATGGATTATATAATTGAGAATGAATAGCTAATTAGTGGCCACTTTACTTTAAATGTTGCATTTACTGAGGAACATTAATAATTTTGAATACAACTGGTAAAAAAAAATCTGCAGTGCTGTTTCTCTCATATGCAACTTAAGGATTGCACTCTTTTTTTTAAATTAGATGAACACAGTGGTTTTATTACCACATATTTCCATGACGTTGTATCCAGAGGAGTGCTCACGTCTCCCTTGTATTTAAGGTCAGCATTTTCACCCATCCTACATTCTGCTAGCTGCAGTAACATGTAAATCAGATTTATGATTTATACTTAAAGGTAAGACCCACCTAAAAGATTTCAATCTCATCACCTGCTGTTTGTTAACCACACACACACCAGTTCTGGGTTGTGAATAGAGATATAAACCTGTTTGGTGTGTGTGCTGGGGAGTAAACTGTGGGAGTGTAGCTGTGCAGTTTGACAGCCCGGCCCCTCCCTGGCTCTGCTGAATGACTGGGAAGGAGCCTGAGGAATGTGGAGGTGTGCAGACATGCAGCTGCTCCAACTGCTCATCCAGCATGTGCACTCTTCACAAAAACCTACAAGCCTGATAACCCCCCTGAGGGAAGAGTACTACAATGTCCCTGTGCTGAGAAAAAAACTTGACGAAAAGTGGAGTTTAACAAGTTTTTGGTGCTCAGTGTCCATTCGACACAGAGTAAATCAAGAAGCCGGTTCCAGTGGGTGTGCCGTGTAGCATGTAAACACCGTAAATCCTGAATAACTAGGTCAGTGTCAGAAATTAGCAAGGGCCATGGGCCATTTGGCCCGCAATTTATTCAAGAATGCCCCCAAAAGCCATGTTCCGGGGGAACAAAATTGCCCCCGTTTTCGAAACAACTATATGTATTTATATTTTTAACGGTATTACATCTGACATTAAAGTATAATTTTATTTTCATTAAATTAATTTACCGCCACGTCTACAACTCATTTTCCAGACATAATCAACTAGATTGCACTGATTACGTGAGAGTAATCTGACAGAGAAGGGGAGGGGGCTTTGCTGTACCATAAGTATAAATTAACCATTTCTTGGGTGATCTGTGTCTACAAAATGACAAATTCATGAAAAATTAAGGTAGAATGAATGTTAAATTTTAAATTAACTTACTTCCAGGATGGCATCTAAGGAATTTATAGTAATTTGGCCTTTTTAACAGTAAAAGTAACTGTAATGTGGTGAAACATTAGTACTGCTATCAGTAGATTAATGGTTAAATCATCACATTTAAACTGGTTGAATTATAGGAAATCTGAGTGATATTTTGCAACCATAACTTTATGTAACCCATTATTTGTTTCATTTATAGTGGTTTCTACTGAAGAGTGAAGACACTATCTTAGTTGGTTTTGCTTTTCATGTGCTTATTGTTAGAACATAATTACAATTTTTTGATGGCCCCCAAACATTTTGAAAATGCCCCCATTTTTAGACGGTGGGGGCCAAAATTGCCCCCAAAATATTTTGTTAATTTCATACCCTGTACTAGGTTAAGTGTATCATCTTTCCTTCAGCGATAAAAATGAGAGCAATCTCACAAATCCAAAAGTTTCTTCAATCTTCAATAATAGCTGTTTTTCAGGTCGCACCAGAATCACATGCATTGCACATGTACATTCACACTGTTCTGCACGGTGTGACTGCGCACACTTGTTAAACAGCCTGCTGTAGCCGAGGCTCGACAGCTGTAGGAGTCAACAGACCCAAGAAAATGATTTTGTAAACCATAGGGAAGTTCTGCATAGAAACAGGGTTCTTCCTCTTTGTGCAGCTGCTCGCCAGCTTTGCCAGATGAGAAAATTTGCTCTTACGTGCACAGATCAGCCCTCGTCTTTGTTCCTCAAGTAAGCTGGGCCTCAAGGAATAGTTCAGCCACAAAATGACTATTTGTTTATGAATTAGCAATGCTGTGTTTGCCTGAATTTGTCAAGAAAACTTTGTTTTTTGCATGCCTCCACAGAAAATAACCAACATATTGCTTTATTGATTGACTGGGGAACATGCTACGTCAAATCATCTATTTACAAAGTCTCACACAAGTCATACATGTCACATTTATTCATTCATATGCTCAGTACTTTCTGAACACATGCATTTCCACTAAACTTTAATGTTTACTAAACTGAAAGTAAAACATAAACTCAAAAACCACGGTATTTTTTTAGCAAAAATGCATGTGTTTGGGAAGTAACAGTTGTTTTGATGTAGTTTTGCTGTTGTTAAACGTGGTCCCCGATCAATCAATCGATATGCTCTCCTTTTTCCGTGGAGGCGTGCAAGCGTTAACAAATTTTCTTTGTAAATTAAAGGTAACACAGCTTTACAAACTGATTTACAAATGGTCAATCTGTGGGTGAAGTGCTTTTAAACAATTATTTTTGCATTAAAATTGCTATAAATAAGCAATTAACTACAGCAGTGTGTAATAAGTGTTTTTAACCTTGATCATTTTAGCAGGCTCCATCACTGACGCCTGCTGGGCCAGAGTCTCCAGGTTGATCTCCTTAGACGCCCTCCTCCTCCTGCGGATGACCCCTCCTGTCGTCACTTCCCCTCCTCTCACAGCCTGGGTGCCTGCTACTCCGTTCTGGGGTGCTGGAAGCTCTTTGGTTGCTTGAGACCAGATGTTTGTTGAAGGGGGTCCCAGTGGGGACTGGCCTTCTCTGGAAAGGCGCCGCGAGCGCCGAGGGGCAGCTAGCATCGCATCTGAAGGCTCTGCGGGATTTGTGGCGACCTTTTCAGGGCATGGATCAGGTGCGGATGATGCGTCACTGACTTTCGCCTCTGGTTTCTGCTGCGGCTCCATTGGCTGGGCATCCTCCTTTTTAGTCGCAGCGTCAGGTGGACCCGGCTCAGGAGGCTGAAAAGTTGCAATGTTTTGGGTTTGTTGCTGTTTTGGTTGCACCTGTGGTGGTGTCGTTTCTTGCTGTGGCACAGATTGTTGTGGCACTTGCTGCTGTTGTTGCATTTGCTGGATTTGTTGCTGTCGCCCCTGTATCTGTTGCTGGTGATACTGTTGCTGCATTTGCTGCAACTGTTGTTGCTGCTGCATTTGATGCTGCTGGATTTGGTGCTGCTGCTGTTGCTGCAAATGTTGGTGCTGTTGCAACTGAAGGTGGTGCTGCTGCAACTGTTGCTGCTGCTGGTGATGGTGATGCATTTGTTGCTGCTGCTGCTGCTGCTGCTGCTGCTGCTGCTGCATCTGGTGCAGCAACTGCTGTTGAGATTTAGGTTGGTCGCCGTACGGCAGGCCCGACATCCCCTTGTTGCCTGGAAAAACAGAGTAATAACCTGATGAAAACTGCTGCTTGCTGGGCCTGAATGTGGTCTGGAAGGGCTGCAGCATGGACCCCTGTAAAGTGTGAGAGGGCACGTGGGGCTGACCCTGGAGCTCCACGCCCTTGTGGGCGTGCTGATAGGCAGCCTGCAGCTGAGCTTGGTGCATTGCAGCCGCAGCATGCTGCTCCCACTCCAGCCCCCTCCCCTGAGCTTGAGCCTGGGCAACATCTCTGTAAACCTCAACAGGTCCTGGCAGTTGATTCTCTCCCCCCATTGGCAGAGCTACACCCTCGTGGACTCCTTTATGGAACGCCATCTGACCTCTGACATTCACTCCACCCATGTAGGGACCAAAGTTCTGCCCCCAGGCTGGCACGGGAGCTTCCTGAGACCAGCCGGGGGGCTGCACCGAGTCCTGGTGCATCCACTTTACTTGAGCAGCCTGCTGATAGTGTGGTAGACTCTGGGGCCCTTTCTCATGGTTGTAAACACCAGAGCTGCTTGCAGAGTCACTGTGGCTCGACTCTAAGGCCGGAGGTCCCATACCATAATACACCTCCCCTGAATGCTGCACAGGCTCCTTCATGGCTGCAGCCCGATGCTTGCCGCTCTTGTCAGTATTAACTTGAGGAGGAAGACTCATAGTAAATATCACAAGGTACTGTTGGAGTCAGAGCTCTCAATCTTAATCTCTGGGGGATGCAAACTGTGACTGCCTCTGTAGTGTGCTGCTCACTGCCTGTGGCTCAGGAACTCTTTGTTTAATTGTGTATACAGAGGTATCTGGGAGGAAATATAAATCCCAACTGAAAGTGCAGGGTGGGGAGCACGCAACCCTCCTTCCACAATCAAATCTGAGGTTTCCTGTCCATTCTTCTCATCCTCTTTATGGTACCAGACCTTGAAAGAGAAAGGAGGGGGTTAGACACTTTCTTTTTCTCTGAGGACAAGCACACAAAGTTTTCACTCGCCGTTAACTTGCCTGCAGCAAAGAGGAAACTGAGGCCTACACGAGCAAATAGCCCAGTCAGTAAAGTGAGAATCAGTCAGAGAGTGTGTGTGTGTTGTTGTAAGGAGGAGCAGACCTATATTTTGAAGACAGGACGTGCAAACAGGAGCTGTAGAAGCCATAAGAGAAGCAACAAGGAGGCGCTCACTGTGTAGCTGCCATTTGGCATAACAAGAAATACAGGAAACGGAGGGGCTCGTGCAATCACCCGAGCGATAGCCAGTGATGTTATGTTAAAATCAGCAATAAGGAAGCGCCTGTAGAAGCAGTTGGGCAACACGGCAGATTAGTGAGCATGAGTTAAACACGGTGTATCTACCTGATCAGTGGCGCACGGAGCTCTCCATGGCCAGCTCCATGGAGTCACTTTGGTTTCGATCAAAGTCGACTGCATGCAGCTCCATGAAGGGATTGTGCGCAGCGAGTGTCATAACTCTGACAACTTTCCCTCGAGTTTCACAGCGCACAATATGGCGAACAGGCGACTTTACAATCCCACGATGACATAATCCAAAGTCCGGACAGGCTTGGAGAGGCGCATTAACGCCGTGGGCACAATGTTGCACACTAGTATCCGTCAAACCGTGCACTTGGGGGAAAAAAATGTCCACAACTTTCTCCCCGCATCAACGAGTAAACCACACACGACACGGTGAGAGTGTGGAAACGGTGCCGTGCAGCGGCCTGCTCTGGTATTTCCGCTGATTTGCACACGTTGCTGACAAACCCCGCAGCTCCGCGCGCGCTGCGTGTCGGTTTATCCAGAGTGTGTGAAGCGCTGCGAAACTGCGCAAACATGCAGAAAGTTGTGCACCCCAGGACACACCGCCTCACCCCAAAACAGCTCAACTCACATCCTGTTATCCAATCCGATTGTCTGGCCACTCCCATCGCTGTATCCGTGTTCGTTTGTTTCGCTGTCGCGGCCGCCCGGAAAGCGGAGACTCACCTCGTTACACGGAAACAGTTTGCTGTGGGTGAAAGCAGGGCTGTAGGTAGGGTTTGTAAAGCACTGGGGTCAGGCACATGCAGCCTTTCAGCCCTGCAGTTATTATAGACAACTAAAAATAAACAAAAAACTGAAACAAGGTGAGAAAAAAAATTACTTAACTGAAAAAAATGACATAAAAAATAGAATTTAGAAAAAAATATCTGAAACAACACTGTGTAGGACTACGATAAAAACAAATTATAATACAATAAAAAAATACAGGCTACAGAAAATGTCTATCATTTGGTCAACACAACAAGCATGATGAGGCGTTGCTGCATATTTTTGAGTCTACATGCTTATGAATGAAATACCTCTGACAGATACCCCCTGTATTATAATTTAAAAAAAATACTAAAACTAATATGGGAAAAAAAACTCAGATAAACTACACATTTTTAATACAGTGCTTATGTGTTCACAGTGGTTATGTATGTATATGAGGATTTTTTTTTAATCATTAGAAGTATATTTTACATTTAAATACTTTTTAGATATTTATGTAGTCACATGCTAACTTGTAGTTATTACATCTCTATTGGTTGAATCAAGAGAAAAATATAACTCATAATTTGTATGCAAACCATGAATTAAAGTTCACCTGCTTAATGATAGATAGATAGATAGATAGATAGATAGATAGATAGATAGATAGATAGATAGATAGATAGATAGATAGATTGATCGATTGATCGATCGACCTCAGTGGACATTTGTCTTTGGCTTCTCTCAAAAATCAGGTACAGACAGACACACAACACAATACACCATTAAAAATGTACAATTTAAAAATAAATATGAAACAATAGGGCAAATAGGAAGGTAGGACCAATAAGTTATAAACATAAAGGACCTCATATATGTTCTAACTGATTCTTAGGACCTTAAATCAATGCCAAGATGGGATCAGCTCAAACTCTGTACAATGGACGAAAGGCGTCGGCAGTTATATGTTTAGCCTTCCTGTATACAGCACTGTTAATTTCCTGCTGCTGCAGCACCATGCACATTTAAGCGAGACAATGACGTTCTTAAGCAATACATCTATTAAAACAGTTATTCTGACTCAAGATAAATGTCTGTGCATAAACACAGTCAGAGCTGTGTCCATGTGGCCTGCTCAGTTTCCTCCTGGACAAAATGTCAAAGCACAGCTGATGGAGGGGAAGTGTCATGTCACGGCTGCATCTCTGCCTCAGCGCACTGCAACGTCCAGCAGGCGCTGCAGGTTTGTAGCTCACAGTGAAGCAGCAGGGATGAGAGTGAGCAGATTTAAGTCTGGAGCCGTTGCGAGATTATTGTGCTGGAATCTTTGTTTGGATTGGCCGCTGCAGCACATTGTGAGATGACGTTGCAGTTTGCTGTAGCAAAAGTTGAGCTAGGGTCAAGTCTTTTTGCCAGATGACCCTGTGGTTTTGATGCACTGATGGACCCCCTAGTGTGTCAGATTAAATGGCATCTAGCTGTAAGGTTGTAGAACTGCAACTTCTCCTGTGTGCCAGGCCTGTAGAACTGCAGCAGTTAATAGGATAACTGAAATGGCCCTGTTTAGAGCCAGTGTTTGGTTTGTCTGTTCTGGGCTACTGTAGAAACAACATGGTGGACTCTGTGGAAGAGGAACCACTCCGTGTATAGATATAAACTGCTCATTCTAATGTGATGAAAACACAACAAGTCTTAATTTTAAGTGACTATAAACTGATGAAAGCATACTCACGACTATTGCCAGTAGATGCATACAGACCTATATTAAAAATTGCAGTAAGTTTAAAATTGCTTTGTCAAATTTCAAGTTTATTGGTCACATACGCAAAATATCTCTACATTGTGCAGTGAAATGCTTTGTTGCCCCCTCCAGTACTGTGCTCAACATAATTATAAATAACAAATTTCTGTTTATAGGTAGATAATGAACTTTATCTCTAATGTTAAGAGATGTAAATTATTTATATATTTATTCAAACAGACGTGTATATGAAGGGTCTATCGGGATAGTCCATTCCTTACTTGATTCACATAATCTGGAACTCTTGACTTTGTTAAGGAGTCATTGGGAGGGGACACTGTTTTCTGATGAAGTTTGGAAGAAAACTTTAGATATGACACATTCCTCTTCAATCTGCTAATGACATACAATTATCCAATTCAAGATTTTGAATCTTCTTCTGATACAAAGTAAGGTTAGATAAGTTCACGCCTAGTGTGTGACTCATGTAGGCATGCACCAGCCACCCTTTCACATATGTTTTGGCTTTGTCCAGAACTAAATAGTTTCCAGCATGCAATTTTTAAAACCTTCTCAGATGTTTTGGAAGTGCGCATAGAACCACGTGCCACTACTGCAGTATTTGGAGTAGCTCCACAAGATGTATATTTTAGTTATCGGGCAAAAAATATGTAAGCCTCTGCATCTTCCTCAGCTAGACGACTTATACTGCTGAAATGGAAGGAAACATTTCTTCCAACCTTCCAGCGTTCATTTGACTTTGGAGAAAATTTGCTTTTCTACGAGATGATGTGCTCAGAATTTAAATCTATGTAGAAAAATCAGACACCACTGATATTGCAGTAATATTGACAGTTGCCGTCTTTTGTTGGGATTTTTAATAATTTTTTAAATGATAAGTTGTGTTTTTTCCCCAGTTGTCTATTGCACTTCTCTAACTTAATATTTTTTATTCTATGTCTCACCTACGATTGTTGTCACACTGAAATCTTTGTAAGTACTTGTAATTTTTTGTGCAGTTGACTCTGTTCATTCCCTCCAGGGTGTCAAGTTTTTGTGATTGCAACAGTTAAAATAAATTCAGCCAGTCCCTGTAAATTCTGTGTGACCTTGCAATTTTGTCCAATCACTGCAACTTTGTCTCAGATTTGACTATATAGAATGGGTAAAATCTCATGTCAGTAGAGCTGGTTGCAGCGTATTGATCCGCTCATCCTCTCTTTGCCCTACTCTCTTTCTCTGGTCATCATGACATTACTGCTGCACCTGGGTCAGAGTCACACACAGTGACAGGGATGACTGTTAAATTCACACGGCTAATGTTACCCAATGTTTATTAACAGGTTTGTAACTGAGTCAAGCCATTTAGGGCCTTCACACGTGAGTTGTTTTAGTTCACGCCAATATTGGCTGTGAAAATGCATCATGATGTGCATCCTAAATAACTGTAAGACGTTTTCTTTTTTACATTTGTTACCATGATGGGGTGCCCATTGGCTCACCTAGTGAAGCGGGCACCCCATGTACGGGTGCTGTGTCCTTGCCGCAGCTACCGGGGGTTCAACTGCAACCCACGGCCCTTTGCTGTATGTCAGCCCCCTTCTGTTTCCCCCTTTCATGCTGTATCTACCCTATCAAATAAAGGCAAAAGCCCCCCAAAAAATCTTTAAAATATTTATTTAGGATCTACTACTTTTGTATGACTTTAATTTTCAACTTTCTTGAGCAAAAAAACAAAGTAGTAGTGTATGTGACAGAAGGAGATGTGTGTGGTTGGGCGGTGGTGGTGGTGGGTTGAGGGCTTATCAATATTTTATCTAGAGCACCAGAATTCCCTGCAACGCCCCTGCTCCTCTGATGGTGCAAATCTCGACAGTAGTGATCACAGCTGATCACTTTGAATGATGACCTAACAATACAGGTAACGCAGTGCTGCTTCCCATGTACAGTGCGCTGTTTGGACCCCATGCAGCTTGTCTGTACCTGATGTTATGCACGTTATGTGCTGTGCAGCTGTGCTGTGTGTCTGAGGGGATGCAGGAGTTTGCGGATCAATCAGGAGAGACTACCGCTGTGACGTCAGCACAGCCGCTGCGAGGCAGAGCACAGGGGCATCACTCCCCATCCATTAGCAGGCTAGCTGGCTAACACCAAGCTAACGTCAGCTATGGTCCATCACCATTATCCCATTTCTAAAATAAACAGCTGCTCGGAATGACCTGGCTAACCAACGGCAGACTGGCAACATGGCGACTGTTTGGGTTTTAACCGGGTTCGCGATGAGTGGTGCAACGAAGCGAGGTAAGGGGCTCACGAGAGGTTTGCTACCTAACGGTTATCCTCAGTAAACATGCTAGTTAGCTTGTTTGCAGGACCACCGGAGCCGCCGCATTGAGCGCCGTCACACAGCTAGATTAGCTTCCTAACGGCTAATCCTCTCAAACGAGCGGATTGTGTCCGTTTATGACATGTGTCGCTAGTCCTGGTTGCGTTGTGTCACAGAGTCAATCAGTGTTAGCTGTTCATGGTTATCTAGCACTGGTTAGCATCTCGTGTGAGCATGTAAAACCTGAGGTGTAGCTAACCTTTGTAGCCGTTTAAATGGTACTTCTACGTGTTTCTGTCAGGCACTGTAACATGCTATGTTTTCTCTCTCAGTGCTTTGTGAGGCTGAAACGATTAATCAAGTAATCGATTAGTCGATGATTGAAAAATAACTAGCAACTTCTGAAATAACTGATGCACTGGCTCAGTTATTGTTAAAACAGAAAAGCCTAACAGTCTCTGCCTTTGATTTTAATGTAAATCAGTATTAGTTGAAACATCTGAAGACATCAACTACTTTCTGACATTTCAATGACTGAACAATGACTCGATTAATCAGGAGAATAGTCAGGATGTTAATCATAATGAAACTAATTGCTATTTTAAGTCCTAATCTTTTGCATGCTCAGCAGCATGCAGTGATTCAGAGAGGAATAAAAAGGATCTGAATTTCAAAATCGGTTCCCTCTTTTCAGTGAGGAGCTTGCGTCACTGATGCCAGGTGCAGGCTGTAGCTGAGAGCACTCAGGATGAGTGGGGCTGGAGAGCACACAGACATCCTGTCAGTGGCAGACGTGGTCAGAGACCGATGGAAAGTGGTGAGAGAAATCACAAAATCATGTTCAAATGAAAATGAATTCCTCCACAGTCATACATGTGTTGACATATGTGTTGAATTTTTTTTTTTTTTACAGACGAGGAAGATAGGTGGAGGCGGGTTTGGGGAGATCTACGAGGTTTTGGATCAGCTGAGTCAGGCCA